AAAATGAAATACACTATTACTATTTTAAAATCTTTATTTAAATCAGATCCATGCTTATTATTTACATTATCTTTTATCTAGAATTGAAATATTTATATCAATTTATAGTTTAAATCATATTTTAGCCCTTTACAAAATACATAGTTTAAAACTGAATAAGAAAAATTAAAATAATTTTTAAATGAAAAAAATGATGGTACACTAGAACAAATGTACACATACTAAACAAATAGTAGAACAAAATAAAATATCTACAGTCATTTTCTTTTTTCTTGTGGCTACTTTCTAAATTCTATAAATCATATACTTTTAATAAGCATTTGAATAAAACTTTCAATTAATAAATCAAATGCCAATTGAGGGATCACAAGAAAAAAATTTTCCTGAACATTCTTTTCCCTTACTTAACTACAAAAATTTATGTTTTCCTAGTCAGAAATTATCCATAGTTAGAATATCTTAAACCACAATATAGATACGTTTGGTACATTCCCATATGCTAAACACTGTAAAACTGGAAAGTTCCAAAAAAAGAGGCAAAGAAAAGAAAGAAATGGAGGTCTCAATTTAGCTTCCCAAGCGTCAGAAGGGTGTTTTTTATCAGTGCTTAGATGTCTATACATAAAATGTTCATACCTCTTATTTTTTTCCATATTCTTGAAATTGTTGATTTCAAATTATATCTTTCTGTTTTCTTTCAGGAATGAAAACATCAAACTGCAAACTATTCTCTTATCCATTAAAATGTAAATTATTTACTAGAATATGGATAGAGAAGTTTTAACGACAAAGCAAAATATAGCAACCAATATTTAATATGTATTCTGTTACCTAATGGAGTTTTTCAAGAAATTGATTCAGTACACTTCTCAACTTATAAATGTATTGAGAGATCTAAATTTATAGTAAGATAAGTATGAATATCAGCTATTAATTTGTGGATAAAGAACAACATATGGTATATACAGCCAGAGACTAAATTAGCTGCTTGCCATTTTTAAATTAAATAAATTGAAAACACTTGAAGTTTTAAGTTGAATTGATTTATTAACGTTAATAAGGATTAAGAGAAGAGAATGTTTAATATTGTGAAATTGTAAAGTATAGGAGCTTTATTTCAATCTTTTCTCCACAACAAAATGTTTTTTTCTTACTACTGGATATTTTAAAAGAACAATTTCATAATTCCTAAACTTCTAGTTTCAAACACTTGACAGAATTTTGCAACTTAAGTTTCCTATATTTTCTAATTCTCTACATTTCTTATTGCTATCAGTCTTGTCATTCCCTGTCTGCCCCGGAATATTAACAACAAAAAAATCAAGGTGAATTAAAAGCCATTACACTGATTTTTACCATTAAAATATAGAAAATTAATTTTCTGAATTTGGCTTACACTGAAAGAATATTTATTAATGCTACACATCAGAGATCCAGTGACAGAAATACTGTCTGGAATACAAAAAAAAAGAACAAAAATGAGGTCAGTTAAATTGCCCTGAAAAAGCATTCAAATTCTTCAAATGGCTTACTTACAGGTACACTCTGAAGTTCTAAGTGTTTAAAATTTAACTAAAAATTAAATGAGAGTTTTTATTTGCAAGTAAAAGCAGCTAAATGACTTTCAGTAATAACGTATTACACTATTTCACAAATCTAAAATACAGCCTGGTTGCTTTTGAATAAAAAAACATGTGGAAAAAGGCATAGCTATTTTTTAAAGCTATTCTGCCCTATTTTTGTATTTAAAGGTTAAAGAAAATAATAAAATGATAAATTACACAGAACTGCAAATGCCAAATTTAAATCAACTCCTATAATTTCTCTATTTTATTATGAATTTTTTGTAATATCAAACATTCATTTTTAATGTGCCAAAAATAAGGCTTTACAAAATATGAATAATTTTTAAAGATAAAATTATGTTAATAATTTTATTATGCTGATTCATTTTATAGGGTGGTAAAAATATCATTTAAATGTTAGTGATACAATTACAAAATCGTTATAAGCAAATTTTTTCTATTATCCAATCATACCTAGATAACTTTGAATATCTACAGCTTTCTCCAGATAAGTAACAAAATCTATATAGATTTAATTGTGAAATCTGGGTGAAATAAATGTTCAGACCACAAAAATTTTTTAATTTAAATTATTCACCCTTTAAATTTCCGACAGTGTCAGTGTGACTTCTACTTTAAAAGAAAAGAATTACGGTATTTCTCCATGTATAAGACGCACCCTTTTTCAAAAAATTTGGGGTCTAAAAACTGGGTGCGTCTTATATAGTGGTTGTATGAGTGCAAAAACAAGAGTGAAAAAAGCGGGAAATACAAGTAAAAAAATCTACAATCACTGTATAAGACGCACCCAGTTTTTAGACCCCAAATTTTTCAAAAAAGGGTGCGTCTTATACATGGGGGAAAACAGTAGTTCAAAATTTCATAACGAGAAATTTAACAATTTTTTTTAGTTTAACACTTATTGTCCATTTTCATGAGCGGTAATTAGAAATGTTGAAGATTTAAGTGTGAAAAATTTCAAAGTTTCAATATGTTAATATCACTCATTAAATGTCCTCAATATATACAAACACACATAAATTATAGATACAATTTTTATCTGTAATACAACATATGAACACCATTCTTCTTCCCTAACCATATTGATGTAAGGATAAAGTAATAAATCTCTGTGCTATTCAAGGGAAAAGAAATGCTTTAAAAAATAAATCTTTAAGGAGTTTCAAAAATAAAGTTCAAATATTGCACAAAATAATTTAACTGCAAATATTACTATATACAATAACCTTTTTCAATTTTTGAACTCTACAGTAAATTCTACTTTTTAATTTTATAAGAGAATTTATTGAAAATCTGCATTTAGCTATTAAATGTTTACATTCAGTTTGATGGAAATGTAATTTTCAAAAGTTAACTGAGTCTTTGTCTTAAAAGTTCATCTATTTGAGTCTTATACATATTTTTTACATCTTCAAGATCTAATCGAAGTTCTTCTGCCTCTTCTGCTTTTTCTCCATACATCTGCAGAATAGTGTTGTATCTTTGATCCAAATCCTACAAAATATATTTGTTTACAATTTGTAAAGTAACTGTAAAGAACATCTTGATTACATTTATATTATGTCACCAATAAACACATTACAATCTAAATAAAAGTATATAGTCAGCTCTCATAAATATTAAACTCACACTCCAGTCTGCTGGAATAAATAGCAAATAAAGGAATTAAAAGAAAAAAACAAAACCTCAAGTCAAATGGCTATCAATCTTACCATACCTCTCCATTAAACCTATAATTTCCCCCAAAATAGCTTAATCAGTGTTTTCTCCTATTAATTTATGCACATTTGATGAAATTTTAGTCTCTTTGGTTCACTGTGGTTTAAGTATTACCTGGCATTTAGACAACTGAAAAAAAGAAAAAGAAAATCCTCATATATAGCTTAACAGTAACTGCTAATGCCAAATATGCTAATTGTGATATATATAATATCAATAAAAAATAGCACTAAGATCATACAAAAGCTCAGTATTATAAATGAACGTTGGCCAAATAAAATTTAGTTATTTTCCTTTATGGAATTAAACATGATTGTGAAAAATAGTCTGAAGATATAATGTAACAAGAAAGATATAAGATTCACCTTTAAAGTTTTTTACTCAAATGCTAATGCTCTGATTTTCAAAGAAATCATTAACATATATATGCATTTTACGTAAACTAAAAATATTATATAACTGGATTAAAATTTCTTAGATTCATCCATAAGTGAAGAATACTTACTCTTAGCTGAGTTCGAAGTTTGGGTATCTCCTTCACTTTCTCTTCAAGTTCATCATTTTGATTTGTTAATTTAACTAGCTCTTCAGCCATTATCGATCGTGTCTTTTCTAGATTGCCAATTTCTAGCTGAGGAACATTACCAAAAAGTAATTCAAATAAAAATATATCTTGCTTAATGCTCCCATTAATATAAATATATCTAGTGTTTTATTTTTTAAGAAATAGATACATCAACATGATGTACCTCTTTCTTAAGTAAAAGGAAATAGTGGCAGAAAAAAAGGTTTCCAACTTTCCTCAGAGGTATACCAGGTACCGGGTTTACTATGAAAGAGAGATAAAGAACTAAAGGAAATCCAATCATCTGTTTGAAATACACAACCTATATTTTTCCACAATCTAAGGACGTAGCATATATTTCAGTTAGTCTAAATTAGTACAAAAACCCAGAGAAATAAAAACATGGTTTAATATAGTGTCAACTGTGTAGATCATATTGATAGACTATCATCACTACCAAAGGAGTTAATCTGGGCCCTCGAGCATAGCAAACTGGGCTACACACACATAACAAGTATTAAGATTATTCTGATCTATTTTTTCCCAATTCAAGAACATCTTTTTTAATAGAGTAATATTTTCAACTCACTGAAGTCATACAATGGGAACAGAAAAGTTTTACTTTTGAGTGTATCAAGTTTAACACTGAAAATAGGTAAAACTTTTTAATATTTCTCACTACATTGTTTTTAAAAAGAAGATAAAATGGGAGGATGCTCCCTCCCACTCATGATGTTTCCTTCCAGGTCACAATGTTACAGTTCTAACCTGTCTCATCACCTCTGCTCACTCCTCACAGGGGAGTTGGAGCAGCTTATCTAAATGGTAAATCTGCGAAGAGTAACATGGGTATTCTCAGCACAGCAACTTCCCTTTAGGAATATTTGGACTGCCTGCAAAGAGCTCTCTGCTCCAGATGCCTGTAAGTCTTACCCAGGCAGACTGCAGCACATGGGGGTGCCTACTCCAGCCCAGCATTTCCTGGGACAGAGTTAAGTGGTCTCCCCAATGCTGGCAATGTTTGCACACTCACTTGGCTCATATCCTTCCCTAATGTCTCCCAACTAGCCTTCATCATTAATATATGAGCTATATTTGGGGCTTCACATGCCACTATTTGATTTTATTTCTCAATTGCTCAAAATTCAGGTGGATCTAAAGAGTTTTACTTATTGGGCATCAAAATTTCATTTACTTAGAGCATATTTAATTTTTCCAATACCTGTAAATGAGTAATTTCTCCTTCCCTTAGTTTTAGCTGAGACTGTAGATTTTCAATAATACTTGATCCTGCTCCCATCCTTACAGCATCATAAAGATTGCTTCCATTTGCTGACACAGACATTGGCCCAAATGAGTAATCATGAGGCTCATCCTATTTAATTAAAGAAAGCACATAGTTATTCAGTTATTATAAATTGTGTTCCATTACCAGGTATAAACAAAATGATTCTGTCCATTCTTGCTTTAAAATGTCTATGACTTTCTCAAAGGCAGAAAATCATCTATATTTTCTGAGGGCAATTAGTACTCCTTTACAAATACTCAGATGAATTGCCTATGGCATGGCAAGATCATGGTGATAAGCAAATGCTATCTGCATATTCCCTTTATCGTTTCATTATTCAGTTTAAGAACTAAGTACATGTACAAAATAAAACATCACCTGAAACAGAAAAGATGTTTGTAGCCCTGCCATCTCAACACCACTCACTGAACTCGAGCGTGACATTGTGGGAGTGCTAGAAACAGAAAATGGCTTCCGTTCCTTAAGGAGTAAGAAAAAAATTCAGTTCAGATTAAAGAGTAAAATGATAAATAAAAAAAGCAAGAAACTTTTCTAGGATTAATGACAACAAAGACTCATTCTCATTTTCTCATAAAATGTTATAGATATAATTTCTGAAGTCTTATCCAAAGCACCATATTTGGTCAAATCATCTCAGGACCCATGTAAAACAACATAATTTGGTTTATTTTTAATGAAATAAGAATGTTCTTGTTGAAACAATTCTATGAACTAACTGCTTCATATTCTATAACATAATACCAATTAAAATCTATTTCTTTAGAATAAGATTACTAATAAGTTGTACAAACCATAAAGTTTCTGGCTTATCCCACTTTATTTTTAGTGTATTTTTTTAATTCAAAAAGTAATTTCAACGTACACATAAGTAGTTTTAGTATATTATGCTAACTACTGAATATACGCCAATCCTTTAAATATAGGAAACTCACTTTAGAAAAATTACCAGAAAGAAAGTGAAGAACCAGTTTTACTCCAAGTTGCCTATGGGCCAAATGAGGAGCACTAATTTCAGTGAGAGAGCACAAATTAATTTAAAAAGAAGTTCTGTAATTTAAACCCTAGAAATCACAGATTTCTTTGTATAAACTAAAAAATTACTTTGGATCCATCTGAGCAGGACACTGATTACACTACTAGAATTCATCACTCTGCGGATTTGAGGCATAGAAATGGTACTCATAAAGTATAAATAACATTACAAAACAATCAAAGATTAATCACAACAGCTACTAACTGGTTACACCAAACACAAAATAAAAGACAAAATTCAATACCTTTTCTTTTATTGCTTCTTGAGTAAAAATTGCTTTCTTCCTTTCTTGTTCAACTTTCATTTTCTCCATTTCTAACTGACTATTCAACATTGCCTAATAGAGAGAAATACAGTTAGATAATTCTTGTGATACTAAATCACCATAAGTCAATCTCAAAGTTGGAGCATAAAGTATGTACTCCTATTTGTTTTACTACTAAAGACCAAGTTCCAAAAGCAGTAGCCACATCCATTTCATCTTGTTATCTCATTAGTTCACTACCACCCCAACCATTCTCTAATGGAAGGCCTAAGACCTGTGCAAACACTGAGAGACATACCTTTTCTTTTCTTGTCTCTTCAAGGGTTCTTACATACTCCTCTTTGAGGTTTTCTAATTCAACCTGGTACCTATTAAGCCAGAGGGAATGAAACAAAACAAAAAAGATGATAGCATAGACTGTTAAAAACTCACCACTTTATTAACTCCAGTTACATATTTAGTAGTCATTTTTATTACCAGCTTGATTTTCCAACTCTATTTTCCAGACGAGTTGAGTGTTACTCAGAAGCCAGACTACAACTTTTGTGCATGTTATTATTGGTGCTTTGGGTTAAAATTTCATTTAAAACAAGACTTTCTACAAAGGATTTTGAATACAACCATTCTATAATACGTTCAGATTCTATAAAAGTTTGTTAGGGGGTTCTATGAAAATGTTCACAAAAGTTCAGATATATTACTTTATAAATCATTTTTACTTGATTACTTTTTTAACACATTAAGGGGCATTTAAATATATACCACATCCCCATGTATAAGATGCACCCTTTTTCAAAAAATTTGGCGTCTAAAAACTGGGTGTGTCTTATACAGTGGTTTTATGAGCGCAAAAACAAGCGCAAAACAAGCGGGAAATGCAAGTAAAAAAAATAACCACTGTATAAGAGGCACCCAGTTTTCAGACCCCAAATTTTTCAAGAAAGGGTGCGTCTTATACATGGGGAAATATGGTATAGATGCAAATCTACATCATTGGTCCACAATGTGTTAAAAGTAAGATTTCCAAGGAAGAATTCAGAGGGTAAAAACACACTAATCACAGCCTTAATAGTTTCAGATAGGTTGATTTTATACCTTGTGTTTCCAAAGAACTGGGACATTTATGTAGAAAGATTGGAACACTGCTAAAAACCTTTTAATATAAAAATAACTCCAATGAATGGTCTCAAAACTATTTTGTGGTTACAGACTTATTTTAAAAAATCTGATTAAGGGCCGGCCGAGTGGCGCATTGGTTAAGAACTGGCTTGGGACACCAGAGGGTCCCGGTTCGGATCCCACATATGAGGGCCAGTTGACGCTGCCCTCTATAGCTAAGATGCTGAACAACAGCTCAACCTGGAGCTGGGCTCCCGAGAGTCGCCAGTGACGGCATAGGCTGCAGCCCCTGCCGCAGTGGGTTGCCATGGGCTACTGTGTGTAGCCAGCAGCCAGCGTGAGCGGCCAGCAGCCGCAGTGAGCGGCCGTCCAGAAGCCGGTGACTGATCTGCCTCACCCGGGAAGAGCGCAATGATGGTGCCAACTTGGGCCAGTGAAGCAACATCCTCCACAACTAGACTGAAGAACAAAAAGACAGCAACTTGTCTGTTCCTCTTCCCCCAATTCCCCAGTGCTGTTCCCATTCCCCAATTCCCCAATAAAAATCTAAAAAAAAAAAAATCATCTGATTAAAACAATGAATCCTTTCCCTAGAAAATACAAATACATACAGAACATGCCACACAATCTCAATAACACATGTGAGGTTCAATAAATCCCAGTACTACCTTGTTATAATATCCCATTACTAATGACTCTGATTTTAAACACCAAAAGTATCTATTTTTAGTTCTCTTTAGTGCTATGAAGCTAAAAGTGAACAACATATGTTTTTAAGTGCTTTGAAATGCCATGAAGCTACCAAAATTAACACTCAAGAATATGCTCACCTATTATTTTCATCCTCCAGTTTTCTTAACCGGTTTTTCTCTGATTCTAGCTGGGCCTGAAATCTGCTGTTTTCCTGTCTTAAGAGAGAATTCTGTGACTCCATGGAAGACATTTGAATTTTGTTGGCAAGGAGTTCTTCTGTAGCTGCACGTTCTCTTTCAACTGCTGATGCCAACAAGGTCTGGGATTCACCTGAATGGAGGATAAAGACACCAAGAGGCCAAGACACCAAGTCAATTCTGACTTGAAACTTTCAATGATGCAAGTAGCCACACTTAAAACTGTAACTACTTATTGTTAAGGCAGGACTGCCTACACAGGCAAAAGAACCATTCTTAATTTGTACCTGCTTTTATCATTTTTCCCCAAAATATTTTAATTTGAAAGTGGAGTTATATATTAAAAGAATAGTGGATCCACAAATGGTGCTGGAACAATTAGACATCCATAGGCCAAAAAAAGCCCCTCAAATGAAACTTCACACCATATATGAAAATTAACTCAAATGGATCATAAAGTAAAGTGTAAAACAAAACTATAAAACTGTTATGAAAAAAGTAGGAGAAATATTCGGGATCTAGGGATAGGCAAAGAGTATTTAGGTTTGATACCAAAAGCATGAGCCAGAAAAAGAATAATTGATGTCCCCAGAAGAAAAAAGCTGAGGAAGTTCACCATCACCAAACCGTATTACAAGAAATGTTAAAGGAACTTTTTTAAAAAGAAGAAAAATAATAAAATATATGAATAAGAAAATATCACACAAAAAAATTTCTTACTGATAAAGGCAAACACATAATAAAAGCAGTGGGTCGACCAACACTAAAGCCAGTACAAAGGTTAAAAGGTAAAAGTAGGAAGATAATGTGTAATTACAACAGTAAATTAAGGGATACACACACACACACACACACACACACACACGAAGTAAGCAATGACAAAAACATAAACCAGGAGGGAGTCAAAATGGTAGTGATTTTAGAATGTGTTGGAACTTAAGCAGCCATCAACTTAACATAGGTTGCTATAAGCACAGCTTGGTATATATGAGGCACATTGTAACCACAAACCAGAAACCTATAAGAGACATACAAGAAATAAAGCGAAAGGAATCCAAACACGACACTACAGAAAATCATCAACATACAGGACAGTAAAAAAATGAGAGAAAAACTACAAAAACAATCAGAAAACAATGACTAAAATAGCAATAACTACATACCAATCAATAATCACTTTAAATGTAAATGGATTAAATGCTCCAATCAAAAGATGAATGATAAACATTATGTGTGTGTGCACATATATGTATAATATATATGTGTGTGTATATATGAAATATTATATATATGGAATATATACACAATGGAATATTATTCGGCCATAAAAAAGAATGAAATCTTACCATTTGCCGACAACATAGATGGGCCTAGAGGATATTATGCTACGTGAAATAAGTCAGACAGAGAAAGACAAATTCCATGATTTCACTTATATGTGGAATCTAAAAAACAAAATAAATGAACAACAAAAACACCAGAAACAAACAGAAATACAGAGAACAAACTGATGGTTGCCAGATGGAAAGGGAGTTGGGGGTCTGGATAAAAATGTGAAAGGTTTAAGAAATACAAATTGGGGCCAGCCGAGTGGCTCAGTTGGTTAAGAGCTGGCTTAAGAGTGCAAGCTCTGAGCAACAGGGCCGCCGATTGGGTTCCCACATGGGCCAGTGACGCTGCACCCGGACTGAGCTGCCAACAGGTGGCAGGATGGCTCAGCTGGTGTAACAACAAGATTGCCTGTTCGATGGTGGGCTATGCCCACCCACAAGTAAGACTGAACTCGACACCTTGAGCTGAACTGCCGCCCAGATGGCTCAGTGGATAGGGTTTGTGCTCTTAACAACAAGGCTGCCGGGTTCAACTCCCGCATGGGATGGTGGCTATGCCCACCCGCAACTAAGACTGAACTTGGCACCCTTGAGCTGAGCTGCCGCCCGGATGGCTCAATGGATAGAGCGTGCGCTCTTAACAAGGCTGCTGGTTCGATTCCCACATTGGATGGTGGCTATGCCCACCCACAACTAAGATTGAACACAGCACTTTGAGCTTAGAGGCCACGAGCTGCCGACGGGAAGCCAGATGGCAACTGGCGCCCTACACAACTAAGATTGAAGAATGACAACTTGGCTGGTCCCCTTCCCCAATTCCCCAACACTGTTCCCCTCCCCCAATTTCCCAATAAAATCTTAAAAAAATAAATAAAGAGGTAATACTTAAAAAAAAGAAAAAGAAATACAAATTGGCAGTACAAAATGTCATGGAAATGTAAAGTACACCATAGGGAATATAATCAAAATACTGTAATAACTATGTATGGTGCCAGGTGGGTGCAAGGCTTATTGGGGGATCACTTTGTAAGTTAAATGTCTAATCACTATGCTGTACATTGGAAAGTAATATAATATTGAATGTCAACTGTAATTGAAAATTTTTTTAAAAAATTGATAAAATGGACTTCTTCAAAATTTTAAACTTTTGTTCTATGTGAACAGGATGAAAAGACAAGCTACAGACTTGGAGAAAAATAAATGCAAACCACATTACCTAAGACTAGTATCTAGAATATATAAAGAAGTCTTGAAACTCAACAGTGAAAATATAAACTATCCAATCATAAAAATGGGAAAAAGACCTGAATCAACATTTCACCAAAGAGAATGTACAAACAGAAAATAAGCACATGAAATGATGTTCAACATCATTAGTCATTAGGGAAATGCACATTAAAATCCTAATGAGATATCACTACAAACCTGTCTGAATAACTAAAAGAAAAAACAGGGCAACACAAAATGCTGGCCAGGATGTGGAGAAAATGGATTATTCTCATACCTGCAGCCACTTTGGAAAAACAGTTTGGTATTTTCTTTAAAAACTAAACATGCAACTACCCAGCAATTGTACACTTGGGTATTTATCCAGGAAAATGAAAACTTATGTTCACACTAAAACTTGTACATGAATGTTCACAGTAGCTTATCTGTACAGACAGAATCTAGAGTCAGCCCATGCATCCTTCATCAGGTAAACAAAAAGTGGTACATACATACATGAAAAAACACTCAGCAATAAAGACTAAATCAGTGACACACACAATAACTTGGATGAATCTCCAGAGAATTAAGCTGAGCAAAAAAGCCAACCTCAAGTGTCATATGTTATACAGTTCTATTTGTATAGCATTTTGAAATTCCAAAATTACATTGGGTCTTAGGAAAAATCATGACGTATTTTGTCTATGTTTTTCAAAGGTCATTTATTTATATAAAGAACAAAGATCAATCAATGATATATTGCCCGTTTTGTTTGATAACCTTTTGCCATCTTTCAGTGAGCTTCATAACTCCTCATTCATAGAAGGACCTGTCTTTATTTGCGAAAAACTGAACAAGGTGCTGATTTACAGCCTCATCTGAATTGAACATTATACCACGCAAGGAGTTTTGAAGACAGCGAAACAAGTGGAAGTCTGACGGTGCAAGGTCAGGCGACTATGGTGGGTGTGGCAACACATCCCATCCAAGCTCCAATAATTTTTGACTGGTGATCAAACTTGTGTGTGGTCTCGCAATGTCACGATGGAACACAACTCCTTTACAATTAACAAGCTCTGGACGTTTCTGGATGATGGATTCGTTCAAACTGTCCAATTGCTAACAGTACACGAATTGATTGTTTGGTTCCTTGGTAGGAGCTCGAAAAACACGAAACCTTTAAAATCCCACCACACTGAGAGCATACCTTCCTCGGATGAATGTTTGCTTTCAATGTTGTTTGAGGCGAATCATCACATCAGGACCAAAACTGTGCACACCACATTGTTGTAAACAGTCCACTTCTCATCACCAGTTATCAGTTGCTTCAAAAAAGAATCGTTTTCCTCACGTTTAATGAACATATTGCAGATGTTTATACACGCCGTCAAATGAACATCTTTGAGTTCATGCAGAACCCAAATTATCGAGCTTGCTTCTGTATCCCAGCTTCTTCAGGTGGTCGTGAATGCTTGAATGATGGCTGTTCAATGTTTCTGCAATCTCTCGTGTCATGTAATGTGGGTTTGACTCGATCAATGCCTTTATCTTGTTGTCATCAACCTCAGTGGGCCTCCCTGACCGAGGAGTGCCGTTGAGATCAAAATCACCAGCACGGAATTTCATGAGCCATCGTTGGCAGTGACGTTCTTGTAGAGCATTGTCACCGTAAACTTTATGCGACTTTTCACAAGCTTGATGCGCGTTCTTCCCTTTGTGGAAGTAAAACTGTAAAATATGGCAAAAATGCACAGTTTGGTCTTCTATCTTCAACCTGTTGTAAAATCTCCAAAACTCAATCAAATTGCTCAATTTTTTTTAGAATGAAGCTAAAACTATCAGCTGTCAAATGACATTGCAATAACATATATTTGAATGACTCTAGTACTTCCTAAAATAAACTAGTGCCATCTGTTGCAAACATGCGTCATGACTTTTCTGAAGACCCAATAAAACAGAGGACAGATTAGTGGTTGCCAGGGATTTGGGAGAGAAAAGGAGAGCCTTGAAGGTGGTAAGTGATGGATACATGAACCCACACAAGTGGCAAAATTGTATAGAACGTAATATACGCACAGAGACACACAAACACACACAAGTACCAGTAAAACTGGGGAAATCTGAATAAAATAATGTCAATACCCTGGTTGTGATATCATATTATAATTTTACAAAATGTTAACATTTGAAGATACTGGAGAAAATGTGTAAGGGACCACTCTGTACTATTTCTTGTAATTGCATGTAAATGTACAATTATCTCAATAAAATTTTTCAATTAAGAAAAAAGATTAGTGGGTAAGATTCTGAGATTTAGCCAAGGCAAGAATTTTCATATTCACCGCCCCCAAAGTAGGCCTAATAATATCTCTATTACATATTTTATAGTCTGTTCCATACTGTACAAGGTGTGATCAAACAATACAGTGAATGTTTAAATAAAAAAAATTATTACAGTAAAAAACACAGTGCCATTAATCCCCCTCAAAATACTCCAACACACTTATCCCATCATTCTTGCCACTTCTTAGAGCAGGTCTGGAAGTCCTCTTTTGTGTCTTTAGTTGCACTGTCATGGCTGCCTCAATGTCCTGAATCATTCTGACTTTGGGGAAGAGCCAGAAGTCGCACGGTGCCAGATCCGGTGAATAAGGTGGATGAGGAAACACCGTAATGTTTTTATTTGACAGAAACTGCTGTATACCAGAAGCGATGTGTGACACAGAGTGTTGTCATGATGGAGGATGATTTACGGCACAACCTTAAAACACCCCTTCTCTCAACCGTAGCTCACATCCGAGTGACTGCACTGAGCAAGTTGAAACTTGTCACACACTATTACTAAGGTTGGAGGCGCCGTTCCCCGTATTGAAGATCCCTGCCTTTTCACTGGATGGCACTCAGCAGCAGTATTCACGGTATTCTGTGATCACAACGGAAAAGGCTCCGTGTCACACATCACTCCTGGTATGGCAGTTTCTGTCAAATAAAAACATTACGGTGTGTTCTCATCCACCTCATTCATAGGATCTGGCACCATGTGACATCTGGCTCTTCCCCAAAGTCAAAATGACCATGAAAGGAAAATGTTTTGAATTGATTCAGGACATTGAGGCAGCCACGGCAGCGCAACTAAAGACACTCATGAAAAAGGACTTTCAGAACTGCTTCAGAAAGTGGCAGGAACGACGAAATAAGTGTGTTCGAAGCAAGGGGGAGTATTTTGAGGGAATTAATGGTAATGCGTCTTTTACTGTAATAATTTTTTTTAAATTTAAACATTCACCGTATTTCTTGATCACACCTCATACCTGTGCTCCTATCAAAAGCATTATATGATATGTTTGACCTATGGCTTGCCTATATTTCAGCACAATACCACATATCCCTGAGAGGATGTAGACTATAGTTTAAAAACCACAAAAATGATGGCTTCTAGCTTTCACTTATTGCTAAATAAATATTTGTTTCAAAAGGTGTCATTTTCAGATGTCTCACATTTCATAACAAACTGGTCTCAAAAAGTTGTCATAGATAAACAACAGACCTAAATTTTAATATAAATTAAACAATATACGAAGGTTCATCTAATTCAGTGATTTTTTTTAAGTAGGTAAATCTTTTTCTAGAAATCTTACATGGAAATCAAAAGAAGACAGGCAAAGGAGGCACTATTTTCATTAAAGCATCGTGGACGGAGCCCAGCACCTTATCTACAGAGCTTCCCTCTCACCATGACAGCTAGCCCTAAGACACATCTAAGGATCTACTGAAGAATGTTTGAAAGCCACTATCTAGTTTACCCATCATGATTTACAGTTAGTGACTTCCTCTTGACTGTTTGGCTGGATGATTGAAAATAAAACAAAATAAAAAAGTCCTGAGTAAAGGTCTCCTGATACCCATTCAGGTCTGCTTTCATCACTATACCACGATGTCTCTCAAGTTACACTTAGTTTTAAGTGTAGAATGGACTCATGGATTTTTAATGAAATTGCTAGCTTCTAGGATATCTAACATATACATATCCTATCTGTGCTTGAATAAACATCTTAGAAGAATAATTTTGTTTTTATTAATAGCACAGAAGGGCAACGTGGAATATTTCTGTAAAGAAGCAGAATATGAAATCTTAGGACTGCATAGCATCTGAATACCAGGTTCCATCTTGATCCTCCTTAGACCTATCTCTGCTCTTGGGATTTTGCCACTGACTAGTATCATATCTAATCTCCACCTCCTACACTATTTTAGAAAAAGATCAGATTTAGCAACAGATAAGGAAAATATTGAGTGTGGTAGTCTGTTAAAAATGAATAAAAAAATGACATGGAAGTATTTTAGACAGTATCTGACACATTGTGTTAGGGAAAACAAATGGCTTGAAAGAGTCATTAAAATATTAGAAAATAAATATAAAAGAGAAGATAAAAATCTACAAGTTAGACACAAAATATAACTATCAGATCAACTGAATTTAAATTTCATACCATTATCCTAATTCTACAAACAAGATGGAAGGTTTCTGCATTGAGCTTAAAAACTAAAGCAGTTACCAAGCCTATCAGAAAGATTCTTCTCTAACTTCTCCCACGACGACGTCTGGGACCCTAGAGTTGCTTGCAAATTTTCTATCTGTCGAACCAACGGTCTTGTTGTTGATGAAACATTTTGACTCAGTTCTTGGTTTCGATTCTCCGCTTCCTGGAGCCTCTGAATCATGGAATTCTTAAGTCATTACTGATAGCAATAAAAACACTAAAAACACTAACAAACAAACTTTATGAGAGATTTCTAGAAAAAAATATTTCCCCAACACAGAATTAATTTTTACACTAAATTATTTCTAATTATGCAATCCTTAAATTAGAGTTAAGTTACATGAGAGAGTATCTAAGTGTTTTTTTGTTTTGTTTTAATGGGGAACAGCCATGGTCATTGATTACACATTGTTTTCATGCTACAATGGCATAGTTGACTCCTTTAAGGAGGGCGCAGCTCATAGTGGTTCACGTGGGGATCAAACCGGTAGCCTTGCTGTTATCAGCACCACGCTCTAACCAACCGAGCTAACCGGTCACCCCCTAAATAAGTGCTTCTTTTTTTTTTTTTTTTTAGCTGAGCCATCCTGCCACCTTTTGGCAGCTCAGCGGCTGCTCAGCTCGGGCGGGACTCGAACCGTTGTTGCTCAGAGCTCGCACTATTGAGCGAGCTCTTACACCAATTGAGCCACTAGGCCGGCCCAATGAGTGCTTCCTTACAAAGCATTTTCTAAAGATAAAGATACCCTTTGACCATCTTAAAATAAAAGAGTATCATCCAAACCTCCCTGTAGGTGCCTCCTCACCCAAATATTTCTAAGTATTTATAAAAACAGATCAGTGAGTTGCATTTTCTCTCCCTTTTCCTATGCGTGTTCACTGACTGAAAATTAAGAGTAGTGACATAAAAACTGGCCACTAATTGTCTGCCTCCCAGTAATCAAAGACTGATAATAATTAACAAATCACCTATTACAAATGAAAACACAATACTGAATACACAATAAATCTATCATGATAAAATTATTTTCTATAAAACAGAATTACGGCTTTTCTTATATATTTTTAAGGTTCCAACTCTGACTTTAACATAAACCACAAAAATACAGCAAATGATACAAATGGTAGGAATCCTCTCAATTCCATGAACGTTATTCCATTGAGTCATTTTTTATTTCTAGGAAAACACATTTTGGATTTGTGTTTAGGAAAATAGTGACAGTACCTGCTGGAGTTCACTGATCTCATGTCGTAAATAATCCTCTTTTCTGGCAGCTGCTTGTTCTGCACGTTGCAGTGCCAACCTAAGGTCCCCTACCTGTGTGAGAAGAAACAACACACTATCACAAACAATCTCAAACATTAGCTATAACTTCTTGCTAAGTATTTATTTTGTGTTGTGTGGACTTATTGTTCATGTATAACACTCTACATTATCCAGTGAGCTTTTACATATAATTATCACACATCTCATTCATCAAGCGATTCAAAACTGTATGTATGTTCAATATATACTTAGGAAAGCACTCTGTTAGGCCAAAAAAAAAAAAAAAAAAAAAAAGGATATAAATACTTAGAAGGCACAATCACTGCCACATAATACTGCAGGAGAAACAATGCATCCATAAATATTTGAGCACAAGGCAGAATGTGATAGGCACTTTATGAGCTATAAATACTCATTCTGAAAATCTACTCTGTGAAGGAAATCTCTATAAGCATAAAAAGATGTGCCCTGCATTGTCAGCTAGATTAGCAAAAACATACAAAACATGAAATATTCTAAATATCCATCAGTAGTAATCTACTTTTGCAAATGTTGATATAACATGACTATACCCATTAAAATTATGATAAATGTAAAAAACATGTATGATGTAATCTTAAAAGAAAAACCTATAAAATTAAATATCAGTATAAAAACGATGTACATGGAGATTAGGACAAGAAGGTAATACACAAAACTGACTTGAAAAAGGTGATGACTTTATGAACGGTAGTCCCATATTCTCTATCTCCCATTCCTCCAATTTTTCTTGATTATTGTTTTAATGTATTTAATTTAAAATATTTAAAAAAATTAACATTTTCTCTATCCCAGTGATAGAGTAGCAGAAACACAAGGGGTATATGGACCATAGTGTGATCTATAATACCAAAATATTGAAAAGAACTCAAATACCCATTAATAAGACCTGATTAAATAAACAATGGTATATTTACACAATGAAGAATTATAACTGTAAAAAGGAATTTTTTTAAAAACTCTATGTTCTACTATGGATTGATCACCAAGATATTTTATTTAGTAAATAAAACAAGCTGTAAAATATATAAATAGTAAACTATATTTTATGTGAGAAGGATGAGGGAGATAAAAATAAATATTAATATGTGTATAAGTGTAAATGTGTGTGTATATATGTGGGGGGGTATATGCATATAAGTAAATGTATAGAAAATGTACATTTTTTTGCATTTACAAATAGAAACACTGAAAAAAAATAAACCAAACACTAATAAAATGGTTAACTCATAGGCAAATAAAAGGAATGGCAGTGTGGGGGCTAAATTGGAAGCAAATATTACTTCAGTATATCTTGGATTAATGTAAATGCTTTACATATTCACGCAAAACTAAATCAAAAGTGCATAGGGGTCGATGAGGAAAGAATAGTCTTTTTAACAAATGGTGCCAGGACAACTGAATATCCTCCACATGCAAAAGACCTAAATGTGAGAGCCAAGACTATTAAACTTCTTAGAAGGAAAGAGGTGAAAATCTGCATAACCTTGGGTTAAGCTTCTTAAATATGACACCCAAAGCGCAAGCAACAACAACAAAAAAATGGGTAAGCTGGACCTCATCAAAATTTAAAAAATTTTGTGCATCAAAGGACACTATCAAGAAAGACAGCCTATACAATGGGAGAAAATATCTGCAAATCCTACATCTCGTATGTAGAATATATAAAGAACAATAAAAAGCCAACCCAATTTAAAAATGGTCAGAGGATGTGAATATCAGAGGATTTGAATAGTTGAATAAATTTCTCCAAAGAAGAAACACAACAGCCAACAAGCACATGAAAAGATGCTCAACATCATTAGTCATTGGGGAAATGTAAATCAACCCCACAATCAGACCCACTAAAAGGGGTACATTGAAAAAAAAGACAATAACTAATACTGGCAAAGATATAGAGAAATGAAACCTTTATATATTGCTGGTGGGAAGGTAAAATGGTGCAGCTGCTGAGGAAAAGTCTGGCAGTTCCTCAAAAAGTTAAATACAGGGCTACAATGTGACCTGAGGATATATATCTAAAATGTGCAATGTTTGTATTTATCTGCATGTGTGCATTTCTCAGGTAAGAGGGTCCCCTTAGCTTTCATGATATTCTCAAATAAGTCTGAAATTCACAAAAAATTAGGCAATACAGGTATAACGTAAGCATCATTTTTACAACAGTTTTAAAAAACACACAACTGATTAAGTTTGGCATAATCCAATATTCTAAAAAAAATGCCCAACAGGATTATAAATGCCCAGCATGGTGTAACACATGTATCACTACCTAAGGTCTGATTCAAACTAACTAATGGATTCTTTAATTTGCAGAAGCACAAAGATTTAAGACTAATTCAGTATCCATTGCTTACTTGAATGGCTAATGTTTCTTGCTGCTGACGGGCTTCTTCTTGGACCTTCTCTAGTGCTGCAGAAAGTTCTTCCTTAGCTTTCATTTCACGGTTTAGAACAGCTTCCTGTGCCTCACTATCCTTTGCAGCATTGGCTTTGTGGAGATCAGTAAGTTCTCTTGAAAAAATTAAATTGATAAGTTTTATTTAAAATAATATACAGTTAACTACATGGCTCAGGTTATGAAGTTTCCATGAGATCTACAGAATGGGAGAGAGTTCACCACATAATAAACACTGACTAGAGGAAGGACTCTCCCTGTTGAACTTGCTTTGAACACTTAGAAGTTCATACATAGATCAGTTTATAAGTGTCATTAGTGATACTAGAAAAAGGGTTTCTGTAACATCCTGCTCTGTTAATTGATATGAAATGAGTTGCAAATTTGTTTATTTTCTTACTTGTATGCACTATCAAGAGCAGCTTGAATACTTCTGTTCTTTTCTTCAAGTTCATCCATGTCTACTTGAAGTCGGCCAAGATCCTTTTCTTGATGTTCAACCACAGAATTTAGTTTTTTAATATTTTCTCTATGTTGTTTCTCAACCTCTTCTTTGCCATCAAGGACCTAATTATAAAAACAGACAAAAGTATTCTTTAATAAATAACACCATGATAAATAACTGTATTCCAGCATCTCAAGTATTATAATAACAAAGAAAAATCTTAACATTCATCTATTAAATTGTTGGAAAAATCTTTCCCACAGGATATACCCCAATAAATCACTGCAAAAGTTTTATAAACCATAGCCACTGTTCATACAATAGTAACAATATATGTAGAAAATAATTAATATTCACCTGTTTTAAATGTTGTAACTCTTCGTCTAGCTCTTTAACTTTTTTGTTCAGCTTTGCAATAATATTTTCATTTTCTTTGTCTTTAGTTCTTAATTTCTTAATGATGTTAGAACTATGCAGCTGCTGTTTTGAAAGTTTTTCTCCTGGCAATGGCAAAAAAGTATAAATTCAAATAATAATGATTCCCTGAGAACTTAAATAGAATGTTTTATCTAACCAATGATATAAAAACTGATAGAAAATTTAAAAAATCACAATACTGTAACCATCAGTGTTAAACTGATATGAACAAGAATTATCAAACAATGCTAAAATTACTAGGTGGAAGGATGGTGGGGAACAAGAAAATGTGGTGTAGAAAGGAAATGTGGCGTGTGTATGGTGTGTGTGTGTGTGTAATATTATTTAGTCTTAAAAAAGAAGCAAATCCTGCCATTTGCAACAACATGGATGAAACTGGAGGATGAAATAAGCCAGACAGAGATACTGCATGATCTCACTTATATGTGGAACCTAAAAAGTTGAACTCATAGAAGTAGAGTAGAATGGTGGTTACCAGAGGAATGGTGGGGTGGGGGAAATGGAGAGATGTTGGTCAAAGGTACAAGGATTCAGTAACACAGAATGAGTAAGTTCTGGAGATCTAATGTACCTCATAATGACTAAAGTTAAAAATACTGTACTATAAGGTCTGGCCAAGTGGCTCAGTTAGTTAAGAGCTTGCTCAAGAGTTTGAGCTCTGAGCAACAGCGGTTCAATTCCTGGCCCAAGTTGAGCAGCCGCTGAGCTGCCAATAGGTGACAGGATGTCTCAGCAAAAAAAAAAAAAAAAAGAATACTGTACTATACACTTGAATTTATAAAGAGGGTAGGTCTTAATAACCAAAAAAGGTAAAT